AACAATCTTATCAGAGAATGGGAAAATTGTGAAGCTTACTGTGGCAGACACAGTAAGAATTTTTCTAAATTAGAGTTTTTCTAAAATTCTGATTTTTACTTGAAAGATTGAATTTTATCATTGGCCACCAGTACTGTCATTTGTTTTCTTTGAAGTAACGGCTCACTTTATTGTTGAGAAAGTAACTGCTGAATACCAAGTCAGAATCACCATGAAGTCTGTCAGTCGTTCTTTCAAGTAGAATAGTAGTCTACACAAGTAATTAGTTCACCTCCCAGTTCGAACACGCAATTGCTTTTGCTTGAGACAACCATTAATCTCTGTTGTGCATCAGAGGGGTGTGATGCAGACTTCCCATTTAGTGATGGAAGAGGGTCAGCGAACATCTTCTCTAAAGGATCAGAGAGTAAATATTAGACTTAGCGGACCACCGAATTTAGTTTGAATTGAGTGTTGTAACTATTCAACTGTGTCACTGTAGCATGAAAACAGTATATAAACAAAGCCTTAGACAGTAAGTAAACAAATGGGATGGCTGTGTTCCAATAAAACTTTGTTAAGCAAGCCAGATTGCCGAGCAAGCAGTAGTTTGCCAACCCCTGACATGGGATTTTTAAAAAATGAATATTTTAAAGTTAAGATTTAATAAAAGTTACAATTTCTTCTTTATCGAGGACTTGCTTCTTAGTGGCATTATATCTGATCATTCTTCCATTTCCACTCTAGCACCCATCCTTACTCTCCTAGTGTGTGACCCTTCTCTTTGAGGCTAACTCTGACTTATGAGCCCTGAATTCTAGAGTTCATTCTGCCTCTAGACTTTCCCATAAGTCATCTCTATTCTCTTTTTTACCCTCACCTCTTTTTGCCTTTTCCTACTTAGTGTTAAACATGCTTAAACCCATCTTTAAACCACATCTTTAAACCACATCTTTAAACCATGTCTCCCATCTTTAAACCACAAAAAAACCTTCCTCCCTTATTTATGTTATAAATATGTATTCTATATTTGAGCTTTATTTCCTTCCCATGGCAGTAGTCCCATAGTTACACATGTTCTGTTCTTCACGTTCAGCTTGTGAGGACTCTATAGTTTTTGACATTGGTGACCCCTTATTGCTTCTTGAATTTTTGAAGCTCTTTTCTTATTTGGCTCTCACTCTTTCACTTTCCTGGGCTTCTGCTTACCATCAGACTGTTATTTCACTCACTTTTCTTCCATTCATCTCTAAAATTTGGTCTTTCTTAGCTCTGATTCTTACTTCTTCACTTATGTATAACATAGTTTCCATTGTTTTTTTTTAGGATTTTTGGGTTACCTCTTCAGCTTACATGATATCAGCTCCCATTTCATTGCTGATGACTCCCAAATTTGTATTGAGGCTAAACGTTTGTCCTGAACTTTAGAACATGCTTCCAGTCCCTTATCAGACATCTCAACATAGATCTCCAGCAGCTACTTCAAATGTTTGTGTTCAAAATAGTTTGTCTTCTTTGAAACCAACTTTCTTCCCTTTTCAGTAAAAAAAACATTTACTGGACCCCAAACCAGATATCTGAAATTTTTCACAATTCCTTTTCCCTTCCCCTCTAATATCCATTTGCTCACCTGGAAATCCCATCAGTTGAGCCTCCTGAACTGAGTATCTTTCTGCTCCATTTGTTATCTCCTTCTGTTCCCACTGCCTATTCATTAGCCAGGTTAACCCATCTGACTCTCAACTGGGCTTTCTACCTTCCTCTTTTCCTGTCTTCTAGTGTATCTTTCCAGACAAAAGTAATTGTTCCTTATCCTATGCCTCTGCTTACCTTGAAGATAGAATTTAGTAGTCACTGAATGATGTGGTTGACTGTAGAAGTGAAGTCTTATACCTCTATGCTAAAATACTTCCAAGGGCTCCTGTTGGTCCGTAGAGTGAAGTCCAAACTGTTCAGTCATGTGTGAGATCCCTCAGTGGTCATGCCCTAGCTCTTTAGTTAAGTTCCTCCTACCACCAGCCCATGTATACCTAGCCCCCACACCACCACAGTCCTCCAAGGACTCACCACCTCTTAGGGCTCCCTACTTTGCACACTTGGTAAATATGTCCTACTCACTCCTCTCCCATGGCAGAACTAACTTTAGGATCCTCCCCATGGAGTCTTTCCTAGTACCCCACTCTGTTCTCATAATGCATTGTGTGTATAGCAGTATTTACAAACAATTATTTTGGGTGCCTGCTATGTTCAGACGCTTTAAAAACCCTTATAATAGTCCTGAAATGTAGCAATGATTACTTCCCATTTTAAAGATGAGGCCCTAAGCCAAAGAGGCATTTAATTTGCCAGAGTTGTACATCTAGACAGGGCTAAGCTAGCCCCTGGACCTGGGCTCTCTTTGCTCTCTCTTGCTGCCTCTCTTTGCTCATTTCATATACGGTTTTCTCTATTATCTGAACAGGTATTTGTCTCTTCTGACCAGCAATATGTTTCTGTATCCCCAGAGCCCAGTTCAATAACTAAATGAATAGAAGAGTTTGTGACTGACACTGAATTTCAAGTGTAAAATAGTCCCATGATAGAGTCTTAGAAAACAGTGTCACAGCTTAGTGATTTTTCTTTTTTAAAGAACCGTTTAGCGTAATGTCAGAGAAAGACAGTTATCATATGATCTCTTTGATATGAGGAATTTGAGAGGCAGGGCGGGGGGCTCATGAGGGGAAGGAAGGGGAAAAAAGGAAACAAGATGGGACTGGGGAGGGAGACAAACCATAAGAGACTCTTAATCTCAGGAAACAAACTGAGGGTTGCTGGGAGGTCAGGGGGAGAGGGATAGGGTGGCTGGGTTATGGACATTGGAGAGGGTATATACTATGGTGACTGCTGTGAATCGTGTAAGACTGATTGATTCACAGACCTGTACCCCTGGGGCATATAATACATTATATGTCAATTAAAAAAAAAAAAAAACATTTGCTTATATTTTGGGTTATAGTATGGGGGGGTTGTCCATTTGTTCAACAATTGTTTATTGTCCATAGTGCTCTGCAAAGCTTTGCACAGAAAACAGACATTCACGTGACTGTTTCCATCATCAGGCAGCTTTGGTATGGTAGAAACTTAACGACCCATATACATCTAACCTGAATAACCACCAGGAACGAAATGCTTCAAGTTTTAAAGCAGCAGGAGGCCATATGGGGCTTCATTTAAGGGGACCAGGAAAGATTTCCTGAAGGATGTGTAGAATTCTAATAAAGGAAAAACATTGAGGGAAGGTGTTAAAGTGAATAGGGATGATGACTGGAATTTAATATAAAGTAAAAACTAAGCCTGGTCTGGTCCATTTATAATTTGGAACAGTTACTGATAGCCTCTAGTTTAGAATTTATTTCAGACATGGAGCATCAACTTTCTAAAAACTTATTTTTTGTAAAATACAGAAATGCATAAAGCAGATGCATAGTTGCATGATTACTGAGTGTGGATTTTGAATAAGGAAAAGGATGGGTCTGTGTCTCTGCATTTGTTGCATGGGATTTTCTTGTAGCTGAGTATCATGAGTTCTCTGCAAGATGGGTGTGGCCTGTGAAGGAAGTCTTGTAGTATCATCCTGAGGAGGCCAGACTATGCCGTAGGAATCACCAGCTGACCCCTGAACAATGTCGGGGAGTTAGGGGCGTCGACCATCTGCATAGCCAAAAATCTGAGCATAACTTTTGACTCCTCCAAAATCCTACTGCTGACCAAAAGCCTTACTGATAACATAGTCAATTAACGTACTTCTTTTATGTTACATGTGTAAAATACTGTATTCCTTACAATAAAGTGAGAAAAGAAAGTTATTAAGAAAATCATAAGGAAGGGCACCTGGATGGCTCAGTGGGTTAAAGTCTCTCCCTTCAGCCCAGGTCATGATCCCAGCATCCTGGGATTGAGTCCTGCATCGGGCTCTCTGCTCAGCAGGGAACCTGCTTCCCCCTCTCTCTGCCTGCCTCTCTGCCTACTTGTAATCTCTGTCTATCAAATACATTAAAATAAATAAAAAATTTTAAAAAAGAAAATCATAAGGAAGAGAAAATACATTTATGGTACTGGACTATAAAAGAAAGAAAAACCTGTGTGAAAGTGGACCCTTGCAGTTCACACCTATGTGGTTCAAGGATCAACTGAACCACTCTGAAGTCTGCCCCGGTGTGGCTTCGCTTCTTTTTCTTAATATGTTGATCTTTGATTGCCTCAGATAACTTTTTTTTTTTTTTTTTGCTTCAGATAACTTTTTGACAGCACTCACCACTTTCTCTGAATGCTGGACAGCCCACCTTGGCTACTATATAAAAAAAAAAATTTCCCCTGAGGTACAGCTGAAGTCATACAGATAATATGTAAATGTGGACAGTGAATGCATTTTAAAGGTTTACTCTTATAAACTCAGGTCACATAATAGTAATTCAATGCATGCATGGTATTTTTTGGAAGCTTAGGTAAGTGTAATAGAATTTTTTTTTTTTTTTTTTACTATTTGCTCTCATTCTGCCACTTAGGTGGCAAATATATTTATTAGCACTCATCAAACTTAAAATCTAAGTGAAGTATGCATTTAGCTGCTTAATGTTTCAAAGAAATACATTTATGTTATTGCCTTGACTTGGTGTATACAGTAAGCTTGTACATGTTTGAGACATTGTACTAGAAAAGAAGAATTAACAAGAGGCTTAGCTCTCCTTGAGTTTGTAATTTTAAAGAATGACATTGGTACCAGAAAACAGATAAAATTCAGAAGAGAATTCAATGGAAAAAAAATAAACTTAAAAAAAACCACAAATGCATTGGCTAAATCATGTATTTGTGTGTGCATGTGCAAAAATATTATGGCTTAATTTTTTAAATTTGGTTGTTAGCTATTGTCAAAGCAATTTTGGGACTTCTGTTTTAGTAAACAGGCTTAAATGTTTAACATTTGAAATGGCGCTTTGTATGTAATGATTAATATTATTGTTGGATTTCTTATGCTTTTGTAGATTTGATCCAGGCTACCAATGAGACCAATGTTAATATTCCTCAGATGGCCGACACACTCTTTGAGAGGGCAACAAACAGTAGCTGGGTGGTTGTATTTAAAGCTTTAGTCACAACACATCATCTCATGGTGCATGGAAATGAGGTAAATGAAGTAAACTTAACTTTTCTTGTTTTGGAAGGGAGGCATTTATGGAAGGCTCTTCTACTTTTCATTAATTAGGAATATATGTTCAAAATCATCGAGAGTACAATTTTAATCTTCTGTTTAGCTATTTTTTTAAAAATGTGCAGTTAAACATTCTCTTGAGACATTGGAATATTAAATATTACTCGTACCTAAAAGGTATATACCATATAAATACATTAATGGGCAAAATTGTTAGAAGAAACAATAAAACTATTTTTCCCAGTAGGAACAGTCTTTTGTGCCTTTAAGTGAAAATTGCTTTCACAAAAATACTTAATTTTGGAAAATATTAATAAAATAAAAATTATCCATTTTATATGGAATACCTACTGAATCATATTAAATTGCAGTGTTTTTGTTATATAAAAAATGAATGATCATAAAATTTAATTCTAATTTAGTGAGTACTTTTCAGTCTTTTTTCCTCCTCAGAGAAAGCAGACTAGGAAACTTTATAATAACTAAGTAAAAAAAAAAAATCGTAGTGAGAATCTGCAGTATCCTTTAGCATCAGAAATTGTTTAAAGATATGATTTGGGAATATTGGTTTTAATTCTTAGTTTTTGTTTTTCAGAGATTTATTCAGTACTTGGCCTCTAGAAATACACTGTTCAATCTCAGCAATTTTTTGGACAAAAGTGGATCCCATGGTGAGAATATGTTCTCTAATTTTTTGGATAATGCTTTTGATGCAGGGTTTTGTTTTGTTTTGTTGAAATGAGGTTCATAATATATAATTAGTAAAGCTGGTAGTTCTGTTGGGTATTTAAGAAAAAATATTAAAGTAATTAGTTACTTTGTAGATCTTCAAAATATTTAATTGTTAGAGAACTCAGCTTATAAATTACATATTTTACTTTTTGTCCTTTTCAACATTTACCTTAACAGTTAGTATTCTAGACCCATAGTTGTTTGTTTATGAAAGTACAAAAGGCAATGAAATAAAAGATACTTTCCTAATTTAAAAAAAAAGAGATTCCAGTCTTAAACATTCTTTGTAAAATTAGTAAATTTGAACTACGGTCATATGCTCATTCATCATAGTTACTGGTCGCCTATTATGTATAAGATGAGCACACCAAGCAAATGGATAGTTCTCAGATAGCTAAATGTATTAAGCCTGAAACAGCATGTTAGTTGAAATGGTGAACAAAAATGCAAGGAAAAATCAGAAAAGACATTCTCTACTTGGATGGTAACATAACGAAATTGAAATGTCTTGGAATGTCTCATGCCTGAAGTATTTTTGCTTGCAGTAAGATTTTAAGTGAGGACTTTCTGCTGCCTTTATTGACTTCATTCTAGCATTATTTACATTTGGAGAGTTTTTTTAAAAAATTGGTGCTAAGCAAAACACAATGGAAGGTATTGTATTAATTAGTTTTACTTCTTCTGCCCCTTCCCCCAGGTTATGATATGTCTACCTTCATAAGGCGTTATAGTAGATATTTGAATGAAAAGGCTTTCTCTTACAGACAGATGGCATTTGATTTTGCCAGAGTGAAGAAAGGGTATGTTTTTTTTTCTTTCTCATATTTATTTGAGAGTAAGTCTTTGAGGCATACTTGACTTAGCTAAAGCTTAAATGCCAGATAATTTTGGTCATGAAGGCCCAGTTTATAATCACCTGAAAAAAGAGACTCAATAGTATTACAGAAGTTAGCCTTGAGGTTGTAGTATACATTACTTTATTTATATTTGCATGCAGAAAATCTGATTCACTGCTCAGAAGTGACATGGTATAACATTTTATTTGTTAAATTCAAATCAAAATTCTTAAGGACATATATTCCTTTAAATAATTTTAAATGGAGAGAATTTAAAGTTCATTCAGAGTTCAAAGAACAGTGGCTCTAGTTTACAATAGTTATTTCAGTGTGTTTTGATTGAAGTGAAACTGAACCATGTATATGGTTAAATCTGTTCTTGAGAGGTAATAATGTCCTAGTATCACACACACACACACACACACACACACCCCATAACTGAACTGATTATTAATACTAACCATGGATTGACAAAACCTCGTTGAAACAAACACTTATATTTTAATTCATAATTACCATTTATTTTCCTCTAAATAGTTGTTGAATTTAATCAGAAGTGTTCAGCCATAAATTTGTGGAAATCTTGTATCTGTTCCTGACTTGAAATAATGGCAAGGTATTGTAGAATGTTTAATATTTTAGTCTCAAGAATTCACACAAAAAGGCAACACTCTATTTTTCTAACAGTGACCCAGGCTTAGCTTTCAATTACGTTTTAATTATGGTGCTGAACAATATAAACTTGTGTGTTCAGAATAAATTAGTTTCTTGTGGGTGAACATTTTACAAATTTAAGGTTTTTATGTCATCCCCTTCTCCTTAGAGATGATTCTAGTTTACATGTCTTCCTCTGACTTCTTACATGGCCCCTGGCAGCCGTAGCTGATGTACCCAGCTGCATTGTGGCCTTTCTTCAGTAGGTCTATAGCCTTCTTAGAAACTTCTGCATCCCATAAAGGGGCACACAAGGATACTTTGGGATGCTTTCCCTACCCTTGAAGTGGGAGATGCCCTGAAAGTTGACACTTTTAGCCTCTTGACATGAGCTGGGTATTTCCTCAACTACTCTAATACTGCCCAGCTGGACCGTCACTGGTGGCAGGGGCTCCATAAGGGGCCTGTGGGCAGACACGGGGTTCAGTGCCCTGCCTGACGCACCCTCTCCCATGAACCTCCGGTTGTGTCCTCCGCAGCTGGTTAAACTCTGTCTCCTTTTGGCCAGCCCGTGCCTATCAGCTTGCATGTTTCTTCCCTTGAGAGTTAATAGTATACACTCCACACTCCCAGTCCTACAGTTTTGAAGACTTCTAAGACATGTGTTCTCTCTTTCTTAAAAAACTAACTGGCATTCACAAAACTTACACCTCTGTTATAGATTTGGGAAAATCCATCCAGTAATTCAACTGATCTCTTTTATCCGAACCACTGCTTTCTTCCTGAGGGCAGTGCAGAGAGGAAGAAAGCACTGCCCATGTGCTTGAGGAATAAGAATGGGGAAGAAGAAGTAATGTAGAGGGGGGAATCGACTATAGCCTCTTAATATCTCAAAATCATCCCACAAGTTCAATAAGGAAATGGAGGGAGTGCAGCTTGGAAGAATGCACGTGGTCTTGAATTTTCTACAAACAAGGAAGTTGCATCTTTTTCTTTTTCTTAAACAATTGTAGGGCCGATGGTGTAATGAGGACAATGGCTCCTGAAAAGCTACTGAAGAGTATGCCGATACTACAGGGACAGATTGATGCACTGCTTGAGTTTGATGTATGTACCTCCCTAGATAACGTGCCCTACACAGTTAGTCCTGTCTTCTGTTTGAAGGTGGGCTCCAGGTATACCTGGAAATCTACTCAGGAAGCAGATTGAGATGTCCTTCATTTTGATGAACCAGACGAACACTTCATGTAGGCTCCTAGCATGGTAGAGATGACTGCGGTTATCCAGATTGTCTGCGCAGTTTCCTGGGTGTTTACTTAAGTCATGGAAAACTATGAATGTTGCATTCTTGGAACCTTGTGTTCGGAGCAGGGTGATGGTCTCCTGTGGTGTTTAACAGGGTAAAGTAGCTGCAAGATGGATCTTTAGCCTCGATAACTAAATAGTTAAATATCTTAGCCTAGTATTAGAAGCCTTTTTATATAGACTGCTTAAATGACACCATCCATCAAAGAGACTTGTTTTTGTCTGGTCATGGCCCTTCCTCCTGGCAATACCAACATGACATGTCTCTTAAAACCATACCCTTTTCTTGAGTATGGTGGTAAATGCCCTAGCCTACACGTGTGGTACAAATAGATAGAGAAGCCCCTCTACAAAAGAAGTGCAAGCGAAACTGGGGAAATATGAATAAGACTAGTGGATTATAGCAATCGCAATATGCTGGTGGTGCTGCTGTACAGTACTTGTGTAAGATGTTATCGTTAGGAGAAACTGGGTAAATCATGCATAGCATCTCTATATTTTTTACAGCTGCCTGTGGATTTGTGGTTAACTCAAAATGAAAAGTTTAGATAAACATGTCTGATTCATGAAAATAAAATATTCTGACATATAAGAAGATTTATAGAATGTGAATTAATTTCTTAGTAATCCCTTAAGACATTTTCATGTACTCTGAGAAAAATTGTCATTTGATAACATGTAATTAACATGTTAAATTTTTATCTTTTTCTAGGTGCATCCAAATGAGCTAACAAATGGTGTCATAAATGCTGCATTTATGCTTCTTTTCAAAGATCTTATCAAACTTTTTGCTTGCTACAATGATGGCGTTATTAACTTACTTGGTAGGTAGAACTGCTCAATGGTAGTTTTGAATAAAGACTATATCAGAATGCGAAGGTTTAATAGATAAATCTAAATATATAATTTGTTCAGGTCACATTTCTCTATTCTTATGTCAGTCAAGATTAAGTGCAAGAAACAGAAAGCATTCTAGATGTTTTAAGCAGGAAAGGATTTCCATGCAAGGATTTTAGTGCTCAGTAAAATACTAGAATGACTGAAGTTTCTAGGCTTTGCCTCTTAGAATAAGTCCTAGTAAGTCCTGCTCCACTGTGCTCACAGCTACCTCTGATGCTACCCCTAGAGATGGATAGGGAATAAGAAGCCACTGCCACCTCATTAAGTATAATAGAAGAGCCACTCCAGCTCCTAGTTTTCTGGACCCATATACTCTAGCTGTGGTGAACAGTGGCCCATAGACTGACCAGTGGTTCAGAGCATATACTAGAATCTCTGACTCTTAAGGTATCTTCTTAGAGTGGGTTTAAAATAGTGTCTTCTGTAGACTGTTCCATCATTTTGTAAGGTCCGCTATTTCTGGACGGAAGGGATTCATGCTAAGACTGACAAATCCTGTGGGGTGTGTCTCTTGTCTCACTTCTTATGCAGCAAAATAATATTGTGTGAGATACCATGAAGGAGAGTAATTCCCCAGATGGTGGTACTGGCAAAACCATATGGGCAGAGGTGATAAATCTTTACCCAAGATAAACTAACTATTCTGGAATAGAAGGATCACTGCTCTTTTCTCTGGTAAAAAGAATTAATCTTTAACTTGTTACTTGGAGGATGACTCTATAGTCCCTGGGTTATGATGCCATGCCAGAAGTTCAGGGTTGATCTCGGGCATTGACCAACTGGGGACGTAGCAAGGATGCAAATATATCAGACTATGTTCCTGGACCTATTCATGACTTCCATTTCTGACATAATAGGCAATATGTTCATCAGTCCTTTTTTTTTTTTTTTTTTTTTTTAAAGATTTTATTTATTTATTTGACAGAGAGATCACAAGCAGGCAGAGAGGCAGGCAGAGAGAGAGGAGGAAGCAGGCTCCCCTAGAGAGCAGAGAGCCCGATGCGGGGCTCGATCCCAGGACTCTGAGACCATGACCTGAGCCGAAGGCAGCGGCTTAACCCACTGAGCCACCCAGGCGCCCCTTCATCAGTCCTTTTATCCTTGGATCACTGAGAAACTTTTTGTGGCATATGCTCTTTAGTCTACCTTTGTATGGAATGAAAATTGTCTCCTGCTCTTTATTCATTCTGAGAGGTCCACCCACTACCTTTTCTCCAGCCCTTCTTGTTACCAATCTTCCAATTTTATTTTTTTCCAAGTCCCTGGTCATTGAGGCCAGCAGCAGTTAGGCATTGCTTGTATTTTCATATAGTTCCATTCGTCTCACCATCTTTTTTTTTTTTAAAGATTTTATTTATTTATTTGACACAGGGAGAGAGAGATCTCGAGTAGGCATAGAGGCAGGTGGGGAGGAGGGGCAGGCTCCCTGCTGAGCAGAGAGCCTGATGCGGGGGCTCAATCCCAGGACCCTGAGATCATGACCTGAGCTGAAGGCAGAGGCTTAACCCACTGAGCCACCCAGGCCCCCCTCACCATCTTTTTTTTTTTTTTTAAGATTTTATTCATTTATTTATTTGATAGAGGGAGAGCACACATGGGGGAGGAGCAGAGGGAGAAGGAGAAAGAGAATCTCAAGCAGACTCTGTGCTGAGTCCAGAGTCCGACATGGAACTTAATCCCACAAACCTGAGAACATGACCTGAGCTGAAATCAACAATTGGATGCTTAACCAACTGAGCCACCCAGGTGCCCTAACTCACCATCTTTCCTTTGATATAAATTGGAAATCAGATAGATATACTGCTTTGAAGTTTGGCCTACAATAGAAGATTTCTGTCTTCTCTCAAAGTCACCCCTTTGTGGGGATAATGACTTAACAAGCCACTTTTAACTAGTGCCGACACTGGGTACCTGGTTGGTTCAGTTGGTTAAGCGTCTACCTTCTACTCGTGATCCCATGGTCCTGGGATCGAGTCCTGTGTTGGGCTTCCTGCTCTTCAGGGAATCTGCTTCTCCCTATGCCCCCCTCCCACTCATTCTCTCTCTCTCAAGTAAAGCAGGTCTTTTAAAAAATAAAAATAGTAATAACTAGTGTTGGCATGAGAAACCATCTCTAAACCAACCTTGAATTCTTTTTCTCCTCAGACCCGTGGTCATGGGGAACTCCCCAGAGACCAAGGGTATGATTGGAGAGAGAGATGTGGAACAGAAGAGTAGGTACAGTGGGAATCTGAGCCATCTGTTTGTACAACCCACATGGGTATTCAGGATTGCCTTGAGGCTGACCGCTTCTATACCACTTTCATTTGATGATAGAGTGTTCTTGTACTTGTCCAGCTCATGGGTATGTATATTAGATAACACTTGAGGTCTTATGATCACTCAATATTCTATGCTTAGAATCTTAGTCTTTATAAGCAAGCCAAGAACAGTTTTTCCAAAGGAGATTAGATGCTGTCTGAAGAAGACATGGCTCTGCTCCAAAGCACTAGAGGTTTCCACTGTATTTTCCTATCGGAGTGTGCCAGATGCATTCTGCAGCATTTGAATCTACTGCAGGCACTTTGAGTACTTTCACGTCTTCGGGAACAAAGGCCCATGTGGTTCCAGTTTGGAGCCGTTGCAGAGCTTTCCCCTGATCTGGATCCTGCTTATACCGGACACCACACCTGATACTCTTTTTGGAGCAGAACACATACATGTTGTATATGTTACCTCTAAAACTAAAAAAGCTCAGGAAACTTCTGCCTGCCTTTTAGTTATAAGGGTTGCAAGGTGAAGCAGTTTGTCTTTCACATGGAAGAGACCTTTGGACCCGAAGACTTAGTTGATGTAGCAGGTCTCTGAACTTTCATAAATACTCTCTCCCACCCCGTGACATACATGGGACTTATCAGGGCACCTCACATAACTAAAATTCTTGCCCACTGGGTTCAATCAGCCTGATGTCGTTAACGTGATAACCCATGAGACTGTAGTAGTCAGAGAGGTTGATACCCTTGAAATAAGACAGCAAGCGTATGCTGTCATCGCTGCCAGATGAAAGCCAACTACTCCTTGTGGGCTCGCTTACTGATATAGGGATACAAGAGTGTGCTAGTTTGATAGCTGCCTATCAGGTGTCAAGAATAATGCTGATTTAAAAAAAAAAAAAGAATGCTGATTTTATGCTGGTAAGAAGAACACGTCTAGAAATCTGCAAGTTGGGGTCATCACCTGGTTAGGTTCACAGTAACCTATTGTAACTCTCTACCCACCTTCCATTTCACAAACCAGATATATAAGCTAACTGAGGAAATGATGGAATTGCTACCCCTGTATCTTTCAAGAGGTCAGGAAACCAGTGTGGGGACTCTGCTAGTTTCAAAGTGTTTCTTTTCCAACTGTATATTCAACTTAACTGGGGAAATGACCACAGATAGCTGTGTACATCCACTGGATCTCATTTTCTTTTATCACCTACCCCAAAAAGCTTCCACTCAAGTTGGTAGAACATAGAGTGAAGTCCCTAGGAAGTCCCATCAGTTTAGAGTTAGTGGTCCTGAAAAGTCTCGGTACGACCCCTTTCCCTGGGCCTACTCACCCTAAAAAAGGTCTCTTCTGCAGAAGAGGAAAAAGTGCTCTTGGCTGAGTTTCAGTGACATTTCTCAAGACTATTTGGAGAGCTTATTAAAATTCAGAATGCTAAACCTTAACCCAGAGTTCCTAATTCAGTAGGTCTGGGGTTGAGCCTGAGAATTTGCATTCCTAATAAGGTCCAGAGTGGTGCTGTTGCTCCTGGTCTAGGATTTCAGTTTGGTAATCACTGTGTTAGAGCTACTTCCAGTTGCTCCAGCTAGCATTTCGAATCCATGTTTCTTGGCATGTTCACCCAAATTGAAAATTATCAATTGTGTCACAAAATCTAATATAATAAACTTTCCTTCCTGTTCAGAACCTTTATAATCCATACCAACTCTCTACATTCTTATCAATAATGGTTGCCAAATACAGAGGGAAAACTGTAAGATGCCCAGTTACGTTTGTATTCAGCTCAACAGGAATTTTTTTTAATATTAGTAAGTCCTATGCAATATTTGGGACATATCTGTGCTAAAAAGTTATCTATTTATAATTCAAATTTAACATAGTATCTTGCATTTTATCTGGCAGCCCTACTGCCAACAGAAATTTGCAAGAGCTTGGACTTCTTTTAGCATGTATATTTTTTTCCTCTTGGTTCAGACTTTGTACTAGTCTCCCTAGGCCATTCAGGGATTGCTGCCTTCTCGACCTCATTCTAGGTATTGAGGCAGTTGGCGAGGGGACAGAGATGAGAAATAGATGGATTGGACATGAGAAAAATTTTCATTCCCTCTTGAAAGGTGGTTTGATTACAGGATCACCAAGCAAGACAGGACCAGCCTTTTCAGACTGAGAAGGAAAAGCTTCTACTAGCAAGAGTGGCTCACTTTGGTTTGAATCTACCCAAGCAGTCTCCTTTCTAGTTTTTGTTGTTGTTGTTGTTATTGTTTTGTTTTGTTTTTTATTATGTTTAGTTAGCCACTGTATAGTACATAATTAGTTTTGGATGTGGTGTTCAATGATTCATTAGTTAACTATAACACCCAGTACTCATCACAGCATGTGCCCTCCTTAGTACCCATCACCCGGTCCCTTTCTAGTTTTTCTTCTCAACAAATACCCTTTCACAAAGGAGACTGTGGTGAGGCTAGGAATTTAACTTAACCACATACATTGTAATTCAGCAGCTTACGAGATTAGACTCCCTGACTTTCATTGATGACAGCCCTATGTCTGCAAGAGATAAGATTATCTGAGGGCAGTTTTGGAGTGCCACTGTCTGGTGCATGAACCAATAATTTAAAATCCTGTGTTGTCATTTTCCTTTGGAGTCAGGAGCAGCCATCGACTCTGCATTCTTCTTGCCTTATTCCCATCATGGTGGTCTCTCCCAGCAGCTGCTTGGTCTGATGATCTTCATTTTAGCTGCTCATTTCAGAAAACCATAGGTTATGATTTAAGTAATCATTTTGCTCCTATATAGCAGAGACCATGAGAATCCAATTTTCCGACAGTCATGGGTAGTCATTACTACCTTCAGATCCAGCCAGTTACATATCTAATCCCAGAGTCCCATCTCTGGCATTTTTGAGGGTCTCATTTCTACAGCCACTTCAATTACCCAATACTGTGTTTATTCAAGAAACAGAAACCACTCTCCTCACTCTAATTAGAAAGGGATGTAAAGTAGGGAGTTGGGTGCTTAAGTAATTATCAGAAGGCTGCAGGAAGTGGTTCCTGAATCACTTACAGAATAATAAATTCTTACACACTGGGGAAGCTTCCACTTCTGAGGTCACTACTTTGCAGTAAACTAAAAATAAGAAGCTGCTGCCACCACCTCAGCTACCTTGCAGCTGTAGGGAGGTAGAACCCAGACACCTGAAGCTATAATTGAGGAAGCAGGGAGTCCCATCAAATGGATGTGACTATAACCACTACTTTTCAAAACCCGGGAAGCTGGAGGTGGACAGTGGAATGCTGCCGAAGAATAATCTTACACTTCTGGGACTTTCTTGTCACAGAAATAGCCAAAGATGTATAGGAAGATGGCTTCTGCCTCAGTTTACTTTCCAGATCTCTCACAGGTCCATCTAACTTACAGAACTGAATTTGCATCCACCATCCTGGCTTCTCATGAGTTTAGAGAGAGAATGGGGCTTGAGTAAGGCAATCAAGCACAGTGCTCTTAGAGATTTTGCCTTATTGGGGAAAGATACCTGTTCTTAATAGGTAATCCAACACTGTATTACCTTTATTTCAGGTGGGAGTGTTTATTAGTAAACCAAAATAACTGATCTTCCCATTCCCTTTTGAGGGCCTATCTTACTCTTCCTTACCACTCATAAATGTGAGTTTTTGCGAAGGTTCATTTCTAGCCAGTTACTTTTCTGCTTTTTGTGTATATTTTTCATTGGAAACCCTGTGTTTTCTTATGGAGATGTCCTTATGATGAGTCCCAGGTCTATTATTTCAGTCTGTGACCTTTCTTCCGAGCTTCGGTTTTGCAAGTCTTTCTTTGTAGACTCTTAAATTTAGATACTTAAAATTCAGCAATGTCCAAAATTGAACTCTTGAATTTGCCCTTCCTAATCTCATTTCTGTTGGTATGTATAGTCTTTTAAACCTAAAGCCTCAGTTATCTTTGAGTTGCTCGTCTTACCCAACTCCATAGCTGTCAGAAATTAAGTTCTGCTGATTCCTTCTCATGCCCTCTCACTAGTGTACCCTTGTTTGTTTCTTGCCTCTGCTTTAAGGACATCAGACTTACTGCCTTTAAAATTCATTTAGCAGTTGAACACATTAAGCCACGTGTTTCTCTTAGATCTCTTGACCATCTATTTTACTGCTGCTCTGTTTTATTTTCTCTTTTTGTTGACTTCAGAGATAAGATTATAGTAAGAATGCATTTTCTCTGTATTTTAAAATGATAACCCTGCAATATATATTTTTATTTCATCTAATTTGAAAAGGATAGTCTATTGGCTAACATTAGGATCAGAAAAAGAGAGTTGTATCTTCATATTAAAAACCTGACTTCAAAAGTGGTAGAGGTGTGCATTCTTGCCTTATCACCTTTTGCTGTTGAGTGGCTTTCATTCAGCATTGCTGTTAAATTGCTCTTTTGAAAGTAACACACTACGGTGATGTGTATTATGGAGGACACGTACTGCATGGAGCACTGAGTGTTATGTGTAAACACTAAATCTTGGAACACTACATCAAAAACTAATGATGTACTGTATGGTGACCAACATAACATAATAAAAAAAAAAGTAAGTAACACTCTAGAAGATATGTACACTTACTATCCTAAGTATTTTGACACAGGTGTGTTTTTTGTTTATTTACTAAGTAGTGCTAGTAATTAACTTTATAAATACATTACGAGTTAGTTTTAATCAAGGACTTCATGAGCAATTCTCTGCATCTCATGTTGGAATCAATGTTGGTGCTGCAAATCTTTGCAAACATTTTATCACTATAATGAAGCTGATGTGCAAGTAAGAAGTATGACTTATGGGCATAAGTGATAGTCCACATGAAAAGCCTGAATTTATTTCACAGGAATAAGATCCTTTTCATCAGGTTCTTTTTCCTTAGGACAGTTATTCTGTGAAAATTAATACTAATATGAAAAGGGAATTTATCAACACGTTATAAAGATTAATGTTACAAAAGCCAAGTTCGGAATTTCATTTCAAATGCTGAAAATCCACATATCTTATCTGTAGTATGAAATAAAGACAGAGGCTCATTTTTGGATGACCCATCCCCTCTCTTAAGAGTATGAATTGCTCCTGGCCCTACCCTAGTCCCTAAGAGGGCAAGGGCACTTCACCACTCCTCCTACATCAGCACATGTTGCTTTTCTGTGTCATTGCCACTGTAACTGAAACAAAGGAAATTATAACCTAAAGCCATAAAAATGTCATTACTTTTGTTCCTGAATCCTGAATTACCATGAAAGATATGAACAATTTAAAAAGCATCCAGAAGAGACAGAGAAAAATTGCTTAAGGGTCTGATATATTGGTTCTAAAAGGAAATTGAGATTATTCAGTTGGTTTCTCTTTTTGTGTTATTGCTGAAGATCTGATGCAAAGAAATGACCTTAGTTGTAGTAAAGAAAAGTAATTTAGACATTTGAAAGAAATTATTTATGTGAAGATTGTTTAAAAAGAAAGAAAGAGGGGCGCTTGGGTGGCTCAGTTGTTAAGCGTCTGCCTTCAGCTCAGGTCATGATCCCAGGGTCCTGGGATAGAGCCCCACATCAGGCCTCCTACTCAGTGGGAAGCCTCCTTCTCCTTCCCACTCCCCCTGCTTGTATTCCCTTTCTCGCTGTCTCTGTCTCTGTCAAATAAATAAAATCTTAGAAAGAGAGAAAGAGAGAGAGAAAGAAAGAAAGGAAAAGAAAAGAAAGAATTGTATTTTACCAGAATAAGTCCTTTTTTCCCCCCCCAGAAGTTAACTGAAAAAGATTTGTTCCCTTACAGCACCAAGAGTCTATGTGTAGCATTAGAAAACAGGATAGAGCAGATAAAGATTAGATTCAGCCATTTTTTAAAGTTGAAGTGTAGTTGACATACAATATTATATTAGTTTCAGATGTATCAACATATTGATTTGACAATTCTATACATCATCACTTAATGCTGACCGTAAGTGCACTCACCATCTGTCACCATACGGTGTTACTACAGTATTATTGTGTTCTCCATGCTGTACTTTTCATCTGTGTGACTTATTTATTTTATAACTGGAACGTCATACTTCTTAATTCCTTTCATCCACTTTACCCATCCCCCACCCCTCCCCTCTGCCAACCGCCAGTTTGTTCTCTGTATTTAAGAGTCTTTATTTTTTGTTTGTTTTATTTTTTAAATTCTACATCTAAGTGAAATCATATGGTATTTGTCTTTCTCCGACTTGCTTCACTTAGCATAATACCTCCTAGGTTAGATTTGGCCATTTTTTAAAAGATTCACATCCCTCTCAAATCTTAAGTGGAAAACAGTATGTGTTTGTTTTCTTGATCTTTTTGCCTCCCTTGAATGCCCTACAGGGGAGGTCCGTGTTAAATGTAAAATTACCCAGACTGTCAACAGAAGGTAATGAGTAGCTACCCTCAATAATTAGTTCTTTGTGTAATTATATATTATTAAACCTTTCTTGAGAAAATTCAAAATACTTTTAAGGTAGTAAAATTACATGCTGAATGAAATGAAGAACTTTAAAGTATGAAAGAATATAAAAATAGCATGTGTTTCACTGTGTGAAAATATAAAATAATAAAGAATACAAAATCATCTTCAGTTATGATCCGGAGTTGCCTGGAAGCTATTGTAGACCCTGGCCTTCTCTGTCTCCATCTGCCATGTCAGTAATTATTGACTGAATGAACTGATAAATGACTGGCTGGCAAAAATACTGATAAAGTGCTGGTTTTCTTCCAAACACATATGGAGAAACTACACTCATGTAATGTAATTATAATGGAACTATAGCACCCTAGTGATTCTGAATTCCAGTCTTGGGAGTGCAAAAGAGAGCAGCAAAGGGATCCTCTCTTTTTCTGTCTGGGAAGCTGAAGGTTAAGAAACAAAATACAATTGTGGACTAGAAAACCATGATGAGTTTGGTAAACCAAATATTTTTCATAAAACTCCACTACTTTATAACTAAGAGACACATTATAATGTTTGAAAGAAATCTCTTGTGGCCAACAAAAGTATCAGTTTATACAGTGTATAGACAATTTAAAGAATTCTTTAACTCGGAGAAATTTATTGCTTTATGATATATACCTTATTGGTTTATGGTGAGCTAGTAAGAAAGTAATGATGCTATAGAATGCAGTCATAACTTTTGAGATTATCAGCAAATATTTGATGCTGTTTTCTAAAGCAGGGTTCTAGGATATATGGATCATGAGTTAACTTGTTGTGACACTTCATATGTTCTACTTCAGGTGTGCTTTCATTATTTAAATGCTTCCCTTTGAGACACCTAGAACCTAACACTGGTCTTAAACTTCACGGTTCCCCTTTGTTTAGGTGCTTTAGAACCTCGTAGAGGTTTTAGTGCCTAGTGTTTTGATCCAAACATTCATTTAAGTTTTAATTAACAGTATTAAGCTTAGAAGAAAATTGAATATTATAGTCTTTTCAAAATGCTTATCTATCTCTTCCAGAAAAGTTTTTTGAAATGAAGAAAGGACAATGTAAAGATGCCCTAGAAATTTACAAACGATTTCTAACTAGAATGACACGAGTATCTGAATTTCTCAAAGTTGCAGAGGTAAGTAATAGTAACCTGTGTTGGGAATATAATTTAAGAATATTCACTTACGTATCTAGAGTCAATAATAGGGCTTATAATCTGACAAGGCATTCTGTCCCAGAGCCCCAGTATATTAGGGTTGGAAGTGATCTCAGAGATCCTCTCTTCCAACTTCTCACTCCAATGGTACTTTATACTCCTGCATCCCAATTAGATAATCACTCTGTGTTCAAATACAAGTTTCATGGGTACTGAGCAGATTCACAGCTTTGCAAGGTTGTTTATCTCTCCTCTCTACTTAATAGCTATCTTTGATCATATGGAAGGGCTTCCTTTTTATTGAACCCTGAAAAAAAAAGTCCTTAGGAAAGTCCATTTATTTTTCTCAGTGTGTAGAAATCATAAATGAAACCTTTTTATTTTGTCAGTGATTTAAATACAATGAAAAAATTAAAGTATCATTAATTTTATGAAGTCTATAAATTGTTTCTTAAGGTTGTCTGTAACTGTATAGTTGGTCTTCCCAAGGTTGCCTGTAAGTTGAAGTTTCCTCTTATGAAATCCAGTTATTGATTGATACTGGTACTGAGAGTTATGACATTGTTATTACAGTCCTTTCGCAGGTTGGACAGTTGATTCTTATCTTACATTGTCAGTGAACAAATTGTTGGGTTGACTGGAGCGCCACGTGCGAGGAGTTCTGAAGCCCAACAGCAAAGCATACGAGGCCTTGAGCTTGGGAGGTTCATGCCATGGTTTTGCTGTTTTTGCCGTTTTGAGAATATAGCACAAGAACAAGCATTTTATACACACAATTCCGAAAGCACTCTGGTCCGTACATTTTCTTTCAAATTTCATTTATTCACAGGAATAGTAATTATCACATTCAAATTAGGAGACTGATACTACAAAATGCTGCCTCTTGACCTTTGGTCCATAGAGTTCATAATCAGAATAGAAGTCTTTGTTTATTTACAAATAATATGGGAAGCAAAGGGTAAGGAATAGTTTATAGGTATTACATATACATTAAAGCATGTTTATGTGTATTTCTCATGGGCTTATTGATGTTGATTTGTCTTTAAGAAAGGATAGAATTGCTTGAAACTTTTGGTTTGGCTGCTACACAATTTTACTTTTTGTATTTGATAAGATTTTCCTATGGTTTAACCCAGTTACCAATATAATCTAGTAAAATTTGCCTGACTTTTTCTGTGGAAAGATCAATTATGCCTACGCATCCAGAGCGGAAGATCCTTTCATTGTTCCATTAATTCCTGGTGCACATGCTACCCGGTCCCCCACCTCTTATTATATATGTTAGATAGGTAAGGAGCTGGACATGTGATGGTTGGGGTATACATTTCTCTAATCAGCACTGTAAGGTCTGATCAACACTGTAAGGTCTTCACGAGAAATGGGGTACTTATTTATTAGCTCATTCTATTTTTAGATGTAAAATTTTATTTCATGTCTCTTGATCACCTCATGTTAGCATGGGCCCATTTCAGGCTGTTGAGAAGGAAATACACAGAAATTAGATGTTATTTTGAGAGTCTAAATAACTCAATACAAATATTCTACTTTTATTTGAACACTATGACTAAGACTTTTTATAGAATGATACTAATTTACAAAATTATTTTTTAATAGAATAGACACCTACAATGGGCTAACAGTAACCATTTGTTTTCTTTATTTAAATTATATTGCTCAGGGACGCCTGGGTGGCTCAGTTGGTTAAGCAGCTGCCTTCGGCTCAGGTCATGATCCCAGCGTCCTGGGATCGAGTCCCACATCAGGCTCCTTGCTTGGCGGGGAGCCTGCTTCTCCCTCTGTCTCTGCCTGCCATTCTGTCTGCCTGTGCTTGCTCTCTCTCCCTCTCTCTCTCACAAAAAAAAAAAAAAAAAAAAAAAAATCTTTAAATTATATTGCTCATAATATAGACATTAATTGTTTGAACCATTGTTGAGTGGTTTGTATTGGTAATTACAGAAATTTCTTTTTTTTTATTAAAGATCTTTATTTTTTCAATTTGACAGACAGAGATTACAAGCAGGCAGAGAGGCAGGCAGAGAGAGGAGGAAGCAGGGGTTCGATCCCAGGACCCCAAGATCATGACCCGAGCCGAAGGCAGAGGCCTTAACCCACTGAGCCACCCAGGTGCCCCTAAATACAGAAATTTCTTAAGAAATGTACAAAGCGGAGCACCTGGGTGGATCAGTGGGTTAAGCCTCTGCCCTCTGCTTGAGTCATGATCTCAGGGTCCTGGGATCGAGCCCCACATTAGGCTCTGCTCAGCAGGGAGACTGCTTCCCCCTCTCTCTCTGTCTGCCTCTCTGCCTACTTGTGATCTCTCTCTCTCTCTGTCAAATAAATAAATATGTAAATAAATCTAAAAAAAAAAAAAAAAGAAATGTACAAATCTTCTTTCTGTACCAAACTGCTCTTGTGTGGTGTACTTATGAATGGACTTAGATTCCGTAGCTACCCTATAATTGGTACCATTTTCCTGAAGATTTCCAGATTGCCATTTTTAAAATATAACTATATATATTAGCTATTTGGCAAACATTAACAAATTATCTGCCATATTAAAAAAAAAAAAACAGAGTGGTTGGACAACTTATATGGAAATATTCAAATACCCCAGAGAAATTGCTCGAAGTGTAGAAAACTTAGCGTGTTTTGAATTCTTACAATAAAGTCTCCTAAAGCAGGCAACTGAAACTTTGTAAAATGGTTATTTTATAGGTAATAGGCATTTCTGCTAAACACACTTCCCTTTTTATGGAACTAAGTTATTCTTAGTTTGCTATTCTAAGATTAAATACCAAGTCGTAGGAGTTATGTCTCCCAGAATATTTGCAGACAGAAAGTGATGAGATTTCTGTAATACAGTCACACCTCAGCTCAAGCCTCCAATTATATTATGGTTCAGAAGTTCAGGTTAGTGAAAATAGCAGTGTCAAGAAAGAATTCCTAAATTATGTCTTTCTGTTCAAGAAAGTTCTGTTAACTATCTGTTTAAGAGAAACACATCACCTTTTATCAAAATGTTCCCAATATTAAAGATCTGTAATACTTTAATTTCAAAAATACTGACTTCATTCATATTAATATTTTAATGGATCACCTAAAGAGGTATTAAAGTATGGAAATAAATGGAATGGAATGAAGTTATCTTAGTTTATAATTTCCATAATTAAAATAGTTAAGTGAATTTAGGGAAACGACATTAGCTTCCCTAAAGCAGAGTTCGGTCATTGGCAGGTAATGTCTTTACCTCTGGGAGGAACCTGCAGCCTAAGTTGCTCTAGGAGAATGAGGGTCAGTGCTCTACATTGGTGATTTTCTACACGGGATGATTTTGTTCCCTTCTCTTTCCCAGCATCCAGTGTCTGGAGTCATTTTTGGTTGTCACAACTGGAGGAAGGGAAGGTCTGCTGGCATCCACTTGGTAGAGAAGGATGTTGCTAATATTGTACAGTGCACAAGACAGACCCTATCAAAGCATTATCATCCAAAATTGTGAATGGTGGCAAGGCTGAGAAACCCTGCTGTACACATAGAGAAAGCAAAAGAACTTAACTAAGAGCATTTGTCAAACAAGTGGGCTTCCTGATCTCTAGTTTGCCTTACTGTCTTTGTAGGAGCCCAACACTTACACTTAATGTATTTGCTTCTGCAGTTCCACCAACTTGAGCAAAACAGTTCATTTCTCAGAGGGATTTGATTTTAACCCACTTTGTTTCTTTGAGCCCAAATTTTATCATTTAAATAAAAAGAAAGAATTGATGTTATGACTTCTATTTTCCCTAAGTTTTTATTTTGAATAATTTTTAAACCCACAAAAGAGTTGATAGAGCAGTATAGTGAACACGTACATACCCTCTTCTTTGATTCACCTTCATTTATATATTCCCATATTTGTACTCTTTCTTGCTGTTTCCCCATTCTGCTCTTCCTTGCTCCACTGCTTCCCTTCCCCAAGCTACCAACACTTAAAATTTCACTGTGCTTTTACCTAGTAATTCTACTCCTACACATGTATCCTACAGATGTGTCCACACAGGTGCACAGTGCTCTGTGCAGCAGGGCTTGCAATGGCCAGAGATGGGAAGCAACGCCAATGCTTGTTAATACATAATTTGTTAAATAAATAAATCATAGGAAAAGACGCTGTTTAAAAAATAAAGAAACACTGTTAATGTGGATATAGGTCTGAGATATATTGTTAAATGAAAAATATAAGCTCAGTGTATGTGTATATATATACATATATATAAATACACTATTGTAAAATAATGTGGGAAATAAATATGTATTTATAAATTTCCAATTTCCTTGGGTATACATAAAAAAACTTTGAGAGGATATGTAAGAAACAAACAAAATGATTCTCTCTGTGGGAAGAGGGGTGGATAATATACCCTGAACAAGTTATTGAAACTAAATGAACATTCCCTGTCCAGAGGATTTACTGAGCATTTATAACTATTTAGATTTAGGCTAAGCATTTTTTTTTAACTTTTTAGCTGCCATTTGCCATGGAGGAAATCTTAAATTTTTTTTTTTTTAAAGATTTTATTTACTTATGTGACAGAGAGAGATCACAAGTAGGCAGAGAGGCAGGCACAGAGAGAGGGGGAAGCAAGCTCCCCACTGAGCAGGGAGCCTGATACAGGGCTCAATCCTAGGACCCCGAGATCATGACCTGAGCCGAAGGCAGAGGCTTAACCCACTGAGCCACCCAGGAGCCCTGAAACCTTAAATTTTATACTTCAATTTCCTGAATCTTTTTTGGCCTTTGGTAAAATTTTGTACCTTTATTATATCTAACTACATGAACAAAATCATTGCTCTATTATGTTGAATGGAAAACTACACAAGACAGACTTTCAAAGTGAGATTGACAGTTCTTGTATACCAGGATTGAGCTGTGGTTTTAACTAATTCTGTGGGTTATCTTCTGTTAAATGCAAAGAAATTAATTAAAAAAAATTCCCACTAAGTAACTCCTTATTTTTTTTAATCCACAGCAAGTTGGCATTGATAAAGGTGACATTCCTGACCTCACGCAGGTAAGTGATTCTCTGAGTGGAAAGTGTAATATGCATGATAGTATTACTCCGTAGTTTGCCATAAAAGATCTTACCTAGGACATAGTCTTCTAAGCATTTAATGCATTTTGAATTTAGGCCTACCAACTTTCTTGGAAATTATTCTAGCTTGCATATTTTTTCTAGCTATTGAATGTATTTCTGGAGTTAATATGAAGATTTACCTGCCCTCATAACATAGTTTCTTCTTTATAGGCAACTGAATTTACTGTTTGGGGACCATCTTTTCATTCTTGAACTTGATTCAAAATCAAGCCTTATGTAGTAATGTTTTAAAGTGCTTTGTCTATGAATAGTGACTATTGGTAGGCATGCAGTTGGAACACTTGAAATATTCTTTCTTTTTGTTCTCCTAGTTTTCAGTATTTCCCAGGTATGAAGGAGGGGCATGAAAGAGGAACACTCTGAAATCATAGTTCTACTGATTCTTGTCTCTCCTGTGAAGCAGAGAAATTCCTACTATAAAAGAACCTTTTTCAAAAAGTCGTAGTGGTAGATAAGTGGTTTTTCTGGGGACCATCTAGTCAGCAAAAACAATAGCATTAGTTGCATATCAATCCTTTTATCTGTTAAGAGGGTATATTGTAGGGCTCCTAAGATGTAGAATGAAGAACCATTCACATGGGCTGAGTTACCATGTGACTTTTCTCACAATCGGCAGGAGCTATTTTTATTTAATTGACTCTTTACTCTGTTATGGTAAATTTCTATCCCAAACATGTCCTTTAACTAGAGATTTTGAGATGATAAGAGAGAATGTAGAGTTTCTATCTTACATACTAGTAATGAATGTATGAGTTTTCTGTCTTTGTAAATAAAAAGTCATTGTAATAGAGAAAATTGTCATAATAAAAGATGACCCCCTTTTTAATAATATCAAAATGCATATGATTGACTATCTTTGTAATCCCTTGCAGTGTTTCTATATTTGAAATAATATTCACCTTAAATTTTTATTAAAAATTAAAGAACCCAAAAGTAATGACCTCTATATTTATATTATTAAAATAACCAGTTAAATACCAATAATTTTTCACAAATAAAATTCACAGAATAATTCAGAATATGATGGCATTGTATTTTTTGGCTTTAAAAGTTGGGAGATCACTGCTTCTAGTAGATAGATATTAATATAAAATATTTTTGCTATTATGAGAAGACAGTGTTCTTTGATCAGGTACATACCTGAATAAGGTGTTAGTATCATTTTGGATGTGGCTTAAATATTAAGTGTGCACAAGGTACTATTAAAAATCTTTTTATTAGATACAGATTTATGAATTTGATAACACTGTAATAAAAAAATGAAGACAATCAGTGCGCTTTAATTTTTAATTATTTAATGATAATATTTACATTGTAGTTTGGTAAAATAGCCTAGGTAAATAATACCTATTAACCTAAAGGTAGATATTAAAATATTTTGTTCAATAAATAGCTTTTAGAAATGGTAAATCATCTTTATTTCAACTGTATAGACATCTCGTACTGTGGAATAAAAGTAAAACTAACTATATTATCAGAGAGGCTCTCAGTTAAGAAGAAAATAGGTCCTTATTTGTCTCAGTTTGTATAATATTTGAAAGAGACAAAGAAAAGTTTAAAAGGACTTAAATATTTTTTTGTTTGGGACACCTGGGAGGCTCAGTTGGTTAAGTGTCTGACTCTTCAGCACAGGTCTTGATCTCAGGGTCGTGAGTTCAGTTCAGGCCCTGCTTGTTCTTTTTTTTTTTTTTTTTTTTTTTTTTTTTTTT